TCAGATCCTGGAAACAAACCACTCTGGAGTGGTATGCTCCTGATACCGTTCTGCTCAAAAGACTTTCGTTGGCGACTCGAGGATCAACGATCACTTCCTGTTCCGCTAATTTCCTCCGTCCTACAACCGCACTTCTGCAGATCAGTCCCACGAATCAAACCGCTAACTATCGAAAGTGTAAACCCTTTCTAGCGGGGGGCTCCTGTAGTGACCTACTTTTGTCAACAGAACGCGATTGGTTCAATAAAAACAATTATTATTATAACCAATTGTACCAGTGACTGTTTTACTGTGCTCGTTTGTTTAACTGTGCTAATGACAGCCATTATACTTACTTACTCTCCCGTTGACTTTGAACTTGTATGAATTCGGTTACGCTCAGTAACCACGCTTGTACTCCTTTGGCACGATCTCGGTATTCTTTTGATACCACGAGATCGCCAACAAATACATCTCGACTACAGCCATCATCTGTCTTCTGATATTGGCCTACGGGGATCTTATTGGTCTATTGGCACGTAGTCTTGTAGCGGTGTTCATAGTCAAGCTCAACTCGACACCACGCTACAGACCGACCAAACAATGAGATTTCGGAACAACTGAATAAGGATTAAGTTCGGATTATCCGTCTTTATTTGCAGAATCTAAAACGTCATTGTAGCGGCGACTCCTGAAGCATCTCAAAACCTACCACAAAATGGATAAATCTTGATTCAGATTGTTCATATCCAATGAAATTCAAACGATGATATCCACAATTACCTCCTAACCCTCTGACTGGTACTGTACGTCATTGTCTTGTACCCAAAGGTGTATTTAAACTTCATGAATTAACATCATAATTCCAGATTTTCCTGATTTCATTAGCGGTCCTTAATAGCACAGTGAGCGTTTATTGTCTATAAATACTCAGGAAAGATTAAAGGAACTGACGTTTTGACAATATATATGTTCCCATTTTACTTGTAGTACTGCGTTACTCGAAACTCAAGAATATTCTTTAAGATCGTGTGAAAACTATTGAATCTGTAGAACACTATATAAAAGGAAATTAAACAAACTGTACAAGGCGGGGACTCATTTTATAACTTTGATAGGAAGCTACAACAACTAAAATACGCAAAATATATTAGTATCAGGCGCAGTTACAAATAAGTCACACAATTTGACTTTTGACCATTGACACTCTGCCTTGTGACAAAGAACACTTCCTGCCATTCACCATACAACAATATATTTTTGCGAAAACACTTCGTCATCTTCTTGAGTAAATGGGATGTACCTATTATTTCGTTATTTATCAGACCACGAGCGCCATTAGCTACTGCCATCGTATACTTTGTCAACCGTCCCATTATTTCTCTGCTAACGCCCCTAACAATTTTATCCGATTCCAAACGACCATCTACGAGTGGCGGTGTATAAGTATGGAGATTCGATTAGTCATTGGTACTCCATGTAAAAATTTTTAATTTCTGCGAAACACCAACCTATTTACTGCACATTTCATATAATGTACACGTTCGTTATGTGTTCAAATACCTTATATTTGCGTGGAAAGATATATGTTCCGTAAAATCAATAGGTCTGTGTACCATTGTGTGTGTTAGCTTTCAGTGATGACTTCCCGTTGACAAAATTAACAAATATTGATTGCTTGTTTAAAACATACAATGGTATAGGCCTTCTGTCCTCAGTGAGAACAAAGGAGATTGCGTACACCGTTGACCTCCCTGACAGGAATTTAGCTTTCTAGAGATTTATGTCTTTTTTGCGTTATCACCCAATGTGAGCATTTCGCTACTGTTTCTATCCAGATACATGCTAGCAATTCTTTTGATCGTATCGTTTTCTAGATGAGTGTTGAATCTCACAAGTGACTCCTCATGAACCGTATGAATATGTTTTGCTTTATTTTTGTATCTTCGGTTTCCGACATATTGCTCAATAAACACAGGAACAGAAAATATGATATTCGCTCCTTGATGTGTTGGTTTAATGGGGAATTTTATGGATCCAGTGCAACAGCTGAAATTGGGTGGTTAATATTTAGCCGAGAACCTTCTATTGCGACTAAACCATTGCAGCTACGACATTCATTTACTTCCGTATTTTGTATGTTAGTTATGTTCACTAATATTCTACAGCAAATGTTGAAAGATTTGTGTGTTTAGATTGTAACCTCATGCTCTAACTGTTTCACTGATCCGATGATAAAAATCTTCCAGGACCGCTTCATGGACTGACGAATGAAGACTTAATAACAGTCTAAGAAGTGGCAAGCCCGACTTAGTTTCAATCGTCGAATACTAGCACAATCTGTAACGGAAAGAGGACAATGAAAATCCGTCCGCAGCTTTTTTGTTGAACAGTACTGTCATTTGTTTGTTTCTTCGCCCTGTTGTGTATTTTAACCGTTGTTCAGATCTCGTATAACCATACCTTTTGTTCTTCAATCTTCCTCACCTTAGCTTTTATTATGTGATTTTGATTAAAGCCATATCTTTTGTCATCTAATTTTCTATTTCATGTTGCCGGACTATTGACAGTAAGGTCGTGCTTGACCAAGCTCAAGGTCACGGCGTGGTTCGGTTTGTGACTGTTAAACCTGTGACTGTCTGTTTTAGAGAATTGCTGGAATCCCTGAAGATAGATATTCGATGCCATCTTGTTGGGAATATTTTTATTTGTTCTCAGGTATCGAACCCTTTGGCATCAACTGTTTCTTTTATCGTTTGTCGCGCTACTTTTCGTTGGAGAAACTTCTGACTGCATAGCACGGGCTGTACCGTTTGAATTATTTCGTATTTTTGATATAATTTATTCTCAAAAACGCTTCGTACGTTATACGGAAGAACGTAGTCTGGTCTATCCAAATAAATATGAGTTAGTCAGTCCTGTGTTCAAACAGAATGTTGGCAGTTCGGTCGTTACACAATCCGTAACATATATCTCATAACAATTTGCCTTTTACACCTTAAATTTTAATTTCGCTACGATTTCGACTATCTCATGAGTTAATGTTCATGATGTGTACTTTCTAACCAATTCTTATTGACGCGAACGATTACTTTGATAAGATTTCACTTATTTTATATGATCTTGGGAGATGGTACACTACACTGGAACAATATGAACGTTTCACACTATTGATTGCCTGTCCCTCGAACAGATTATTTATAAATGCATAAATCATAGTTATACGACAATTTAACTTAGTTATTTATGTGATGCCTTATAAATATCTGCAAGGTGACTCGAATAGACCGTCCGTTCCACAACAAAAAGTTGACCTCATTTAAAGCAAACAGAAGCTTATAAAAGTCCTTAAAAAGCGAAAAAAGGGAGAGATAAGGGATTGAGTCTAAAATCAGAAGTCAGAGACTTTATAACAGTAGATTTTTTCATAGTGAGACTTTGGAAGGTAGTCGAGGGACCTTAAATTTGGTTTCAGGAGTAACTTCACCATTCTTACTCCAGACAATACAACTTAGTCTAAATATACAGTTTACGTTAGTTGAGATATAAGTCCTAAATCTTCGTCTGCAGTCATAAAGTAAGGGACGAGGGAGAAATAATGTATCTTTCATATTGTGTAGAGATGATGTAAAGCTGGTCAGACCAGATGAAGGATTCTTGGTATATTCTTCTGAGATATGTACGATAAAAACTCGCTCCTAGCTATATCTGTGTCCCTTTTTTAAATGCAGTCTGAGTACCTTGACGTGACATGGTGAATTTAGTGGATAATGAGATGAGGTGCGACTCTAGAGGTTAATTCCATCTATGTTTGACTCCAATAAATAGCATCCCGTCGACTGAGTATTTACGCAGGCTAAATGTACCACTTTTATGGATTAACTGTAGATTAATCAAGAGCCAGAACACCAGTTGTAGAGTTAATTTACTGTTAATGATTAGTAGAAATCTATAAGCACACAAAAAGCAAACACACTGGTAGACCAGTGAGAGTAAAGAGCGACGCGAAACAAACCGTGGAAACCATGTGAGCCAACTTAATTTAACCAAGCGTAAATCGATATTTATAGTCAGACAAAAGTAAGTTACATATATATGATGAGTCAGATAATAAAGGAACATACCTACGCTCACATAAAAACAGTCAAGGTTCGTTAGCGAATTACTAACCAGATCAAAATGTGACACAAGAAGAGTGAATACATGGGTCTGTCAGGAATTTAGAATAGGCTATGTAGGCTTAACATAACAACCAACACTTCACAACTACGAAGACCCATTGCTCCCATGTTGTTCAATGTATGCTGCAATATGCCAGCAGAGCGAAGTATGTTAACAGTCTAATCAAAAAGCACCTTAGTATGCCTTGTCACAGAAGTATATATTTAAAAAAATTGCTGTAAATTACTGCACCTTAAACTAGAACTACGTAAGCAAAATTTTTCAGATAATTGTTCTCGAAATATTATCGAACGATAAGAGTATAAACCTTATAGCCCCAGTAAGCAGAAAGAATTTAGAACAAGCTGAATGATATTTCATGCTACACGTCTGGAAGCAGACGCCTTTCTAATAATGGATCCAAAGCCTAGTGAAACTGAATTTCAGAAATGTGGGGGATCCTAGATGTGTTGTGAAGCATATGATCTATTCTGACTAGGTGTTGCGAGAATTATGTAGTAGGTCGTACCCAGTAGTGATATGATGTGAAAGTTTGGCTGAGCTACTGCGGTTGAAGTGTGTTCAGTATAACTAATGGGATCAGTCCAAATGTCGGAAACTTAGGAGAACTGTAGCTTTGGGGTGTCCACTTATCACCACTATCCCAATGCATTTTATCGAGAAAACTTTGAGCCCTTCGACATAGACTTATTAAAAATTGATTGTACCAAAACGAAATTGTCCCAAAGAAAGTTGTATTAAATGAGAGACTCACATGGTTTAGACTGACGACGCCTACTCATTTTTATTTATTTTTCAAACGGAAGTGTTTGTTTGGACCAGCCTTAAGGTCGTTGAGCGCCAACTTGTTCTCTTCAACTATGCCTCACGGGAGTCATCGCAATAAGTCTAGTCACTATCGATGGAGAAATCGTAAGTACTTGGTGTTTGTCATGTACTTTAAAAACTTATGCGATAGTTTCGTCTGTGTGTGGTTATTTGTATATGGACAATGTAGATGTGCTTTTTTATAAGACTGAATTTCCATAATTTTGGAGTCATTTATTCAAAACTTACAGAGTTTATACTCCGTTGAACGCTAATGCATGTGAGAACCAGCCTCATCACATTCTGGACATATTCAGTTGAGTTGTTCTCAACGAAACTACTTAGACTCGTTTTCTATCCGAAGTTATTGACTAGCGTGTTAATTATATCCTCTTGTTTTTCTGTGAGCAAAACAAGTAGTGTTGTTATTACAAAGCCAGGTTAGTAGAGTGAGTCCGGTTAATTACCTCGAATGTAGTCGTAGATATAACATGGACAATTTACGGCAGTAACAAAAAGTTTAGCGAGGTTGAGTTCACAAATTAGTAAGTAATATTAGCTCAAAATCAGGAAGAATAAGAAGCTCGTTTCCACCGTTTTCTATCATCTCTCATAATCAAACGTTGATGACGAATATCATGTACACTCCAACCAGGTAATTTACGCCCACTAATATGATACTCCAGTGGGTGTCTCGACAAGCCGACAGCACGTCCTAGTCTAACCCTCTGAGCTTCAAGTTTGCTCTAGCCACTAGTGCTTGCCGAAAAATGATTAAGCTCGGGATGTATAACGTTTCAGTCACCTGGTTTCTCACTTTCGCTGGTATTACTCACTTCAAGGTTATGCCATTAAAAGCAACCTATAGAACCTAGCTCAGTCGACTAGGATGTTTGTATCAGTGTCCCTTATTTAAATTCGTACGAAAAAGTAAGTTTATTAAATGCTAAATATGCAAATACTTTAGTCGAGTTACGATTTGTTGTTTGCTGGTTACTCTGTGGTTCCTAAGACTTTTGGTTTCCTCATATGTACATAGTCATTTTTGGTAGACGCGTCCCACTAAAAATCATTTTATTGGTTCAACCTTGATCTACCTAAGTGCTTGGATGATGTGGCTCTAATTATCGATAACTTTCAACCTTCTAACTACTCAAAGTGACAATACAGTTGATCAGGATGTGTTTTTGAAACAGTTGTCAGTGACTGTTAAATATCACTTTTTGTCCGAGGGTTATTTTAAAGTAGTTTAGTTCTCCAGCTCTATAAGATTAACCCGTGATTAGCTTCCTAAACAAATTTCCTTAACCTACCTAAGAGGCTCATTTATTATTTTAATGCTAAAACTTCTGGGTCTAAAAGATGAATTCTGGATAGTATTACGATCCAGGAGTCAACTTGTCAGAGTCTAGGATCGGTCAGTGCACCTAAAGGTGTTTATTTGATATTCTCTAGATTAGTCTAAAAATCTGTTTAAATCACCTAAGTACATCCACCATTTATTCGCCAAACTTTATTATTCAGCTAATCCTTCTCCAACCCATGTTATTGTTCATTTTAAAGCTTTGTCTGTTAATCGCAGTGTTATCGTTGTGAAAGGTTTATGGAACACATGTATAGTGTTAATTTCGTGGTTTATGCTGAAGTTATTTATTTATTCGAACACAAATATTGGTACGAAGGGGCACAGAATACATATGAGCCACACAAGTCACTTGATTTATATGTCGTCTGTGATACTGCCCGGGTGCCCAGATCGAAGCGGGTGGTTTCTTAGGCAGCCACACTCGGAGCCTTCAACCTGAAGCTGTGGTTCACAAGGCAATGGAGCAACGTCAGGAGATGCAGTCCCGTATTAGCCTGTAATTAATAATTGGTTCATACGCCATATGTTCCTTCAAGATCCTAGAGCCTATGTGCACCATTGGTTCGGAATCAGGGTTTTCCAATTCCTTTAGGTGGACTCTCCGTTTCCACTAACTCGGTTAAAGCGCCGGACATTTGCTTTTCGTCCTCTCGATTATGTAAACAACACCCCGTCGCGATAAGGCAGTGAATAGGACTTCACTGGCAGTGACTGTATACGTGTGGCCATGTAAAAGCATTCCGAAAAGCTGGCTCTCCACACCTTCGGCCTTACCAGGGCATTTAGAAGCTGGAGTTATTGATCGACATCAAATTTACATATTTCCTTTTTGGTTTTTAGATGGAGAAAATGATCGACGTATTGATACGTCTGACGAATATTTACGACGACGCGAACATGGAGGGAAGTTCAGTAGTGGTCGCAAGTCTATAATTTCTGGTAATAATGTGGATATGTTAAAACGTGCTATGAATATGAATGTAAGTTTGAAAAGTATGTATCGCCACATAGGTTTCGACAAAAAATATTTCAAGGGGTTTTTGTTAACGAGGAACTGGTTTGTGCAGTCAAATCTAGATAGTACTTGTCCTTATATTTTTATCATCCCCTTAAAAATATTCTAAGAATACGCATCTGGAGTTTTATGATCTAAATTAATTTTTTGACTAACTTTACATTAGGACATTAGCTAATTGCAAACGTGCTTTCTTTACTATTTAAATTACTAGATATTTAAATTTGCGTGATCCAAGTTTGAAAATAAAAATACAAATTGGTGCAACTGAAAATTAACCAAGTATCAAAAGAGGTGTTTATACAAACCTTTCGGACGAAAGATTATGTTTATGTACACGAATTTTTCTAGCTTCCACTGTATATAAAAACCAAGGTTTTCAATCACAGGATAGGCTGGATAAAATTAAAGACTTGAAAAGCTACTTTAACACCAATTTTAGTATCCAGTGTTGTGTTCTAGGATAACTCGTCCTCTGTTTTTTACTCACTCATGAAGGGTAAGTCAGTCAGTGAGCTGCAACGTAGGACCAGGCACGTATATGCATCGGTCCAACAACAAGATGAACACCGGATTCATAGAAGTAGTTAATTCAGTGGTAGTAATATATAGAAGAAAGATTGCATATAAGGAGATAGTACAGGAAGAAAGAATTAGTTCCTAGAAAGAAAGATATGAAGCGATTTTAATCTCTTAGTTTAAAGGAAGACAGAGAGTGTATACACCGACGCCATTGTGATCGATTCTGAGCTATGTCACCAAGAGTCTCCAACCATTGGTTACGATAATCGCGCGGACCCCAACCAGGCAGTCTGCATCTACCAACATGGCTCAGACCAGAAGTCAGTGACTTCAAGCACTGATGCCACGTTTTGGTTTGGCCGCCCCTAACTTTCTTCCAATTATCCCTAACACCAGTTAGCATTGCGCGCCGTGGTAATCGGTGTTCAGGCATACGCAGCACGTGGCCCAACCATCTCATGAAGGGTAATGTCTAAAAGTCCAACGGATCAGTATCTTAGTTGTATATCCAATGTAGTTTACTTTAGAGCTACAATCGGCCTTGTAAACACATGTAGGGAAAGTGGAACTCCGCAGCTTATTAATTTGCTCATCGAGAACAACAATCCTATATTGTTCGTAAAATTAATTATAGGGTTACACAATGCCTGTTTTTATGTTTAGCTTATCGGTGGATCAGCAGCTTCTGTTGTAACCGCCCAAAATTGTGGTTTGGCTCCCGGCGAAGTTTGGGTGAGAATTACTATTGTCCATGGCGCTAATCATCCGATGATGGATCTTCAACAGTTGGTCACCACCGTTGTTGGGACACAGCTACGGTTCTATAATACTTGCGTTGAAGGAAGAAATGCACTAATGCATGCGAAAATCAGACAAAAGGATGTAAGTGCTCTTGTAATTTACATAATTCAAATTAAATCGGTCCGTTATCTTTATACCATATTCAATAAATACACCAGTTCAGGTCATCGCATCTAACAGTTAAAATAACCAATACCATGGAGAAGTTAGTAGAGTTGGATAAGTTGAGGTCTTTTAATCTTCAGTCCAAGGTAATAAATGTCACTGTTTGCATGCCAGATAATCGTTTTGACCTTTCTATGTATTTAATTATCTGGATCCACCGTACTTGACTAGTTATTACGATAGTTAATATTATCTCCCCAGTGTTGACGTCGATTTACGTACCGTTAAGTCACAATTTTGACTCCCGTTTTACTTCCGATCGAGTGCCCACATTGTCCCCACCTCATATCCAGTATAGTCTAAGGTTTAAAATACAAGTCTGTACGTATTATTCCATTTCGCATCTTCGAAATACCTAATCGTACAACTACTGAATTTAAGCAGTGATATTTTCTTTCTTTTATTAAAATTTAGTAACAATTATTTGTTTTCTAGGTTCAAAGTTACCGCAAATCACTCCAAAATTTACGCGACCCAAGTCAGGGTTCACAATTAATTACCGACATAACAATTGTTCCTGAGCCCAGAGTCCCTTCTTCGTCTGATAAAAGAAATGAATCACCGAATACCTCTCCTTTGCCAGAAACTTGGATTGAAGCATTAAAGCAGTGCTTTGTTCAGCGTTATCAACCTACTACACGTAGTTTAGATCTCTCTTCTCTGCACACGGATCCAGTTCTTTTAAGTCAGGGACTATATTTACCTCTTAACAAACAAGCGGTGGTTCATACTTTGATTACTATCCTGAAACAAAACCAAGCACAGGTAATTGTTTTATTGGTTTACAACTTCCAAAGTATGTTTTCCTTACAAAAAGATTTTCTATTTAAGACCACTTAAAATATCCACTCTCGGAAGTCATTAAAATAACGAATGACCAACGATAGTTGAAAGAGAGCAAGAGCGATAAGTAGTCAATGAAAATTTTCACACCTCAGATCCACTTACAACTACAGAATCTGCTAACTTAACACACTTTTCTCCTTGAAGCAACAAACATTCGTAGATCAAAAACTGTAAACTATCAGAACATATCTAAAGGAATACTGTCTATATCATCAAGTGTCAGTTATTTTATTCAACTATTGCTACGACGAAAAGCCCTTTTGTATAGATGTTTTACTCATTTCCTATAGTTTCTAATCAGCACTTTCAGATGTCTAGTGTCTTCTTAAACCTGTGTATATCATTAATATTGTCAATTCTGTCAAAAAATCCAAACTAGTACCCATTTTGTACCGTTCTGAAATGGGATTCTAAATATTTTCTTATGTTTAGTTCCGTAGTATTGTATGAAGTTCCATAGGTCCATAAGTCGAATATCAAACTTTACACCCGTTTTTTGTTCGTCGTGTTCACTAATTGAAAAGAAAGAACCCTAAATCATGAAAAATAGTAAAACTGACTACCGTTTTCATTATCTTTGGAAGGTTGTAAAGCGCTTAAATGTTTCTGTGACTTGGATTATAAAATCGTGACTTCATTGTCATTCATTTTCATTGGCAGATAAAGCCTACTTGATTGGGGTTCGTACGTGACTTATGGTTAAAAAAGTTGATTGACATAACTCAAAGTCAGTCGCAGCTGTACAAATCAATCTATTCTCATGATCCATTCTTTCACCACGAATTATCCCTATGTAGTCTTTTTTACTACTACTGGTACTTGATAATTCCTCTTACTGTGTTGATGTGGTAGGGATATTTGAGTCAATCAACATCTATGCCAAATTATGCGTTGCTTTTGACTGATTGCTTTTTTAGCAGGATATAGATTGGATCAAAGTATGTTCCGTGCAGGATTGTGTCAGAGCACGCCGATCAGCTCCGGTGGATACTTGGAGAAGACTTTAGAATCTTGTGTAAAATTATATATATACATTTTCCTTGTTATTATTCCTATTCCTACTCAGCCTTGTTTATTTGGAATGTAATTTCGTTCCTTTTCAATCATGTTTTGATTTTGGGGCATGCCGAAGAATACTAAATAAAAGTAGCTGGGTCATAGTAAGAGATCATAACAGGCTTTTTACATAATCGGATTATTTAAACATAAAATTAGTTGTTTGTGTATTCTATGATTAAATATATGTTGCTTACATGTTAAAAAGAAATTGATTAGAAGAATTCACATATGTTAAGTAGCGAAACAATAAACAGGGAAAACTACTTCAACCTTCAGTTCAGGTGCATTGTTTAACGGGTGATAAACGAAAGTAGCTGTTAAATGAGAATTAGTTCACAATTTTACGCTCTTAGGTGTATGGTTTGGACTTTTTTCATTCATGGCATTAATGATTATGAAGTACACACCATATACATTGTTTTGAAACCGTTAAAAAAACCAAATACACTTTTCTGCTTTATTTTCTTTCTAAAGCTTGCTGTTCTCAATCTCTCAAACAACCGACTAACTCATTTGAATGCTTTTTCTCCGTTATCTTCAACGAGTGCTGGATTTATTCCAGTGTCCATTGAACGTATAGATCTCAGTTCAAATCCTCTAAGTAGCATACCTGTCCTTTCTGGTCTTCGAGATATCGTTGGTTTGATTGAATTAGACCTTACAGAAACTCCTTTGGTGTCAAAATTCAATCCAAACGACAAATCTTTTGCAGCGTGAGTGTACATCTTCGCCCTAATGGTCTCGTCCACTTGTCTGCGACCATTGGCCTTCGCTTCGGTGGTTAGTCAGTCTCGCAGCCTGTGGTGTCATCTTCCGAAAATTTCAAGGATGTTAATTGTCACCATTTTCTTTTTTTATTAAGTATTTTTGATTTTCGATCGCATTTGGTTTTGACTATTAAAAAATCAAGTAAATAGGGTCCTATCCTTAGGATGTAAATGCGGATTTAAGCTCGATGAGAATTGATGACCGCATGCAAAAATAAAGTCCCCCATCGAAAATCAAACACAACTTAAAATTTTGACGATATCAGTCGGCTACTGACCTTCGAGATTTCTAACAGTTTTGAAACAGTTATAATACAAATTACTCGAGAAGGTAAATATAGATTTCAGTTGATTTTTCTACACACAAAAGTTCCAATCGTTCTTTGCCGTAACGATATTGAAACATTTTTCATATCATTAAACGTACGACAAGCTCTAAAGTTTTTCAAATATTACTGGTTGTTGAAACACCTAATATATATGCCTTTCAATACATACCTGATTGCCTACATTTTGTGACCTTTTGAAGAAACGGTTTTCAATTTTCTTTTGTTGCTCGATTTCGGGGTTTTTTGGAATCACTGCGCTGGCTCAGTAAATTGCATACAATCTTACCAACGATCAAGCGTTTAGTAAGTGATTGTAGATAAAATTTACCAAACTTTATACTGTGGTATATTTAACTTAAACTTTGTCTAGTACATTCTATATATATATATATATATATATATATATATATATATATATATATATATATATATATATATATATATATATATAGAGAGAGAGAGAGAGAGAGAGAGAGAGAATTTTATCATATCAAATAATAGTACTAACTCAACTTATAATGACCAAAACCAGCTGTTCATTTGTCCAAACATTTTCATCAAATACTAACTGAATAACAATTTTAATTTAATTTGCCGCGGCTACTGATACTGTGGTGCATGCTACTTATGCTGATAAATATTAGTATATAGTACTAATCGAAAGTAGAATGACTGGGAGCAGGAAATTGAATTCAAAAGAACAAGAAGGGAATAGAGAGCAAGTGTAATAACAACAGATTTGGAAAAATCACGAATCATATGCAGGACAACTGAAGGAAGATGTTCAAATAATGTATTTTATAAAGGCGCACTAATTTCACATTTTGCAACAACAATACGACCAGTGGGTTTGTTTAAAAACGATGAATCACCGGTTATAATTCCATTCCATCTACCAAAGCTTCATTTCTGAGTAGTAACTGGGTGGTATCACTAAACCTGACAATTAGAGTGTGGCTGGTAGTCAAGTATACGAGTCTGTCTAATAAATGAGTTATTTATTTTTCTATATGTTTGTCAACCGAGAGTTAAACTTACAGTAAGTCAGTATCTGTTACTAACTTCTAAGTATTTTGGTCATAGCCGCCAGCGAAAAGTTATTCTCTTTGTAGAAAACATTAGAATTGTTACACCGAACCATGCCTGAAAATATGGACGATTGTCATGTGTTCTCAAAATAAAAAACAAAGTTCCACACTGGTCTTATGTTAGGTTTTTTATTTTTCCTTGGCTATTTACGGATACATCTTTGGCCGAATCTCTAGATTTCTGGATTTTATTTTATTCAACAATAAAGACACTTACTCATTGTTCATATTCTATGAATAATGTATTATACTCTGTTACAGAATGGACAAGAATTACCGCACACTGTACAATTTGCAATTGAGCAAGGTTCGGATTCGTCTAAACGGCCTCCAACGAAACCGCTTCCACAGTCTATTCTGGGATTTTTTCCTAATGATGAAGTTAAAATAGCTTTGTTGAGTTTTTTAAAATTGTAAGTCTTTTTAGGATTGGTGTTGTGATTGTTTAAACCCAAGAATACTTACTCTCTATATACTCCTTTCTTTAGATTCTCACAATCCTCAGTCTTGTCGATTGCAGTTTCATTTTATGGACACTTGTACTGGATATATCCGATAGCATTGATCTACAAGTTTTGTTTTTATCGACCTGCGATTTCAGGCTCGATTGTGTCACTTATCTATAGTATTTAAAAGCTCCCACTCACTAGTTAAGCGGATTTTTGATAAGATAACAAAAGCATTGCATCTTTTTATTTACTCACTTCGTAACAATAACTGGTATGCATTTACAATCCTTGGGTCCCTTGATCAACTTAAAAATTTATATTTTTTGCACGGATTTATCAGTCTCATCTACTCTTGAATCGTTCACATCCAGAAATTCTACTATAACTTGTGTTATTGTGCTAGTTTACACTAACAATCTATTAACTCACTTATTGGTAATTGATACATGTCAACAAATACCTGGATTTAGTTTTACTAATTCCATTCAGCCAAGTAATTTGCTCCGCTTTTTAAGACTATGAAACTTCATTTATATTTGACGTCTAGTATTTACATAATCAAACCATTTAATGTTAAGAAAAGTACCTGGTTGCTAAGTTTGATGGCGGTTATATATTTTGCTCTCGCCATTTACAAAGCCCTTGTCACAGCTAACATTTTCACATTGTTCACAAGTAATTAAAGCTTCGATACCTTAAAATCTGTATGTCTCTATATTTTGTTCTCTTTCGTGATTTCTGTGATCTAGATACCTTAGTCGCTATGATTCTAAGCCTCGAGGTGAAAGTTTGCTGCCTTACTACACGACTGTTTCCCAACTGGTTTTTTCCGTGTCTCCTGAAAATCGTTTTCCAAATTCACAAAATGTGTCATTCACAGCACGCGTAGAGATGCAAAATGGTTCTGATCAACCGACTACGGCATATCTTACCACTTCACGATTAAATCAAGCATACTTTTTACGAAGTCGTAATCTTCTTCGCTGCCGGGACCAAAGTAGACGACGCGACATGGTTGTTCGTGGTAGTTTGGCTATCGCCCATTTTTTGGATGAGCTACCAACCACGGAACATCAATTAGAGTCTTTATCTGTTGACGTCGCCTTTCATTCCGTAAGTATAAATTATTTCTATCTCGTTTTAGAAACTATTGAGAATAGTACGATGAATGTTTCCTAAATTTTAGATAATCACAAGTTAATTGTGCTCAATATCACAATCAAATAAATTGGTACGTGTGCGACCATTTTCCCTTCTTTCATTAATTAAGTACTTATATCTTGATTATTTATTATCTTCACGCCTGTTACCCCCCGTGGGGAGCATAGACCCCCATCAGCATTCTCCATCAAACTCTGCCCTGGACAATCCTTCCCCGTTGCTACTCATCCTTTTGATGTGAGCTCTCAATTGTCGGCACAGTGTGTTCTTTGGTCTTCCTCTTTTCTGTTTTCCTTCAGGATTGCTAAATAATGCTTGCTTCGTGATGCAGTTTGATGACTTCCGCAATATATAACCTATCCACCTCTAAGGTCTTTCCCCGATTTCCTCTTCAAATAGAAGTTGGTTTGTTCTCTCCCACAGTAGGTTGTTGCTAATGGTATCCGATCAACGGACATTGAGTATCTTACGCAGACCATTGTCCGTAAGTACTTGTACGTCTTTGATGATGATTGTGGTAGTTCTGGAAGATCAAGCTCTGTACAGTAGAACTGCTTTGGCGTTCGTATTAAGGATTTCCACTTCGATGTTGGTTGACAGTTGTTTTGAGTTCCATATATTATTCAACTATATAAATGCGGTCCTCGTTTCGCCGATCGTTTCGTTTAGATCTGCATCGGATTCTCCTTGTTAATCGACGATACTATTGACCAGGTACATGTAAGTTTCCACCTCTCCCAGAGTTTCTCCATCACATGTTTCTTTGGACAGCATCAGAGCCACTTCCTGAGTGTGTGGATCATTTTCTTGTTCGTGACCAGAGTACGAAAGCATCTCTCCTGAATGTAATCTTTTCTGTCCAGTTTGGATCTAATGGGTTCCACTTATTCCGAGAACCGACGAGTTGTATCTCTTCATTTCCGTAGCTAGATGATTGGTTCTCCCAGTTACATACATTGTCCGAACATTCCGTGTTCCTGTGGTTGTTAGAAGGGATATCAGCTTTGTGACTTCTGAACACTCACGGCTTTCACCATAAGGCGTTATTTTTTTAAAATGAAGATCCTTCAACTCATAAGACAGAGTTTAAAGGGTTTTATTTATTTATTCTGGTCAGCGTTTTTTGGCGAGATTGGTTTCTACTGATTGGTTTTACTGCAGTAACTGTAGAAGTGTTACAGGCGGGATTTTATATCTTGATACTAATTTGTATTCCATATTATTTTTGCATCATTCACAGGGAACTCAAATGTTGTTTACAATGGGTGGTGTTTTTTACGAGGTTTCTTCTATGGGTTCAAGTTCCACCAACTCAAGCTCACACGAAAAATCTGTTCGTAAAGTCCTTCGATGTTTTACTAGAACTATGATATTGATCGCACCAGGTGGTCATATAGTGCAAGATGATTATATTGTGTCTAATCCAACTACCTCATTGTGTAAGGTAAACGCTACTTATTCAAATATCGTTGTCATACATTTGTTCTTATTAAGAAATTTCCCATGTTATGCATATACTTGGAACACTTTATCAGCCAAACTATGTGAAAACCTTGAGCTCGATGCACGTTTCAATAAGATAATTGCCCTGGTATGGCAGAGAGTGGGGGGAGTCCGTCATCCCTCTCGAAATGCTCTCACATGGCCACGCGTATACAGCCCCTGCCAGGGAATTCCTACTCACTGCCTTCCCTACTTTACAAAGGTATATTCCATAACCATAATTAAACATGAAGCAAACTGATTATCAGTATATCCTCTTCAATATATAGATTAATCTCATCTGGACCAGAATTTATACGAATCAATGGAAGCAAAGTGAGTAATTTATAGACGTGCCGAGATTTCGTTAGGCATTAACCTACTAGGGACTCCCAAGGTAAATGATATAGTCAGTACTCCAAACTGCTTCACTCACTATTCAGATATAAATCCAGACCAGATTTTAATCAATTCTTAAAATTCATAAATTCCTCCATAAGTAAACAAAGAAGGTCTTGACCCTGGAGATATATCCATGGAAAAAAACCGAAAAGTAAATAGTCGAGAGACCAAATATCTTCGGCTCATATTATTGCTTACAGTAGCCCTTTTCTCAAATAGTAGTTTTTGAATAAAGGGTTCACGTACCTAGTTATGCCACAGTATCTAAGTCTATAGAGTCCCGACCGCAGCTGCTACCTTGACGTAGTATTCGGGCTTGCCTATCGTGATGACCCAACCGAGCTATATTGGCTGGAACACATGTTCCTGCAGGTTCTACTATGCCAGGCAGGTCGATTGGAGAACGGTAAGACTAAAAGCAGCAACTCAAGCTCTGAGGGCAAAGTCGTACTGCTGACTGTACAGAGGTGTGACAGCAGCAAGGTGTTTCCCTCGGACAACCAGCATCTGCAGTGATGCTGCCTTCTCACAAGGAAGGAAGGGGTTAGAAAAGGTTGATCCTAAAAATGTCACACCTCACCTTACCCCACGGATTTCCGTCTCCGGCGGTAAGGCCCTTTGAAGAACGGAGCTAACACATTAAAACCCCCCCACAAAAAGGCCGTGCGCGACCGGCCTCAAGCAGTTGTCCCTTGGGCTCTGCGGTCACGCACTCAGGTCGTTAAGACCAACACTAATCCGATTTCCTTTTCAGGTTCCTCAAGAAGTAAACCTTCCACGGTGTGTGGGCAGCCGGGAAGTGACATCAGCCCGAATACTCGTAACAGCACACGAGACCAAGTTGGTCACATTCAAATCCTTCATACACCTCCTAATAACTCTCTTATCTCCACGACTAACCCTTCTCAGATCCCTTTATCACCTCGCCCTGCTAGTGCAAACGATTTGAGTAAGCGGAACGTTATTCTTGGTCTGCTGAAACCACGCTCTAAACTACACGTAAAAGCTTTCAACGTCCGAACATTGAGCCAAATAGGACAACAGGCTTCCTTAGTTAGGACCTTATAATCTCGCTCCATCCATGTGTGCTGCGTCTTCGAAACGCGCACACAGGATCCTAGTAGTGTCATTCATTTGACGGCACCATGTCAAAGTAACAAACAAACTGGATTTACGCTTCGTGTATCTGGAAGCCCTAATGCTGCATCCCGTAGCCTCGCTGGCGTAGGTATAGCATTGAGTCCTAGGGCAGAACTACCTCTCTTAGACTGGATCCCAGTAGACAGACGTTTGCGCGCTGTCCGACCAAACGGAACAGTACGGACTCGAAAAGATAGGGACACTCGTCGTTGCCTCTTCGTCGTGTCTGCCTACTCTCCCACTGACTGCAGCTCAGATGATGTAAAAGATGAGTTTTACAGAAAGCTTTCCGACCTTCTCCGAAAAGCTAGGCGCTCTGATGTAGTAATAGTGGCTGGTGACTTTAATGCTCAAGTAGGTAAACTAAGCGAAAAGGAAAGACACCTGGGTGGATCTTATGGTGTCGCGGCTCAAAGAACAGATAATGGCGACCGTCTGTTGCAGCTATGCTCAGATAACCGCCTGTTTCTTGCAAACACTAACTTTAAGCATAAGGAAAAACATCTTTTGACATGGCGACCCCCTAATTCGTTTCAACACTGGACCCAAATAGATCACATCGCTATCAGCCACCGATGTAGGGGCTCGATAGAAGACTGTCGCTCATTCTGGAGCACATGCTTAGACTCAGATCATGCTCTAGTGCGAGCGCGTATTTGTCTACGTCTTGCTGGACGTAGGAAACATGCTGCAAGGAAACCCCTTAGGGTCCTACTTAATGATAGTCAAGCCAAGACTATATTTCAGGAACAACTAGAAAAACAGTTAGACAGCCATGTAAGTGATGCCCACCCCGAGGCAGCGTGGAATGACATCCGAAAAGCTGTAGAAACAGCAGTGATGTCTGCAAGTACAGTAAACCATAAGGTTAGGGAGAAACACTGGATCTCAGCAGCGTCTACCGCACTGATAGATGCTCGAGAACTCATTCCATCTGGCTCTGAACATAACGAAGAGCGGAGTCAGCTAAAGGGTAAGCTGACTAGAAGCCTTCGCATTGATCGTGAACTGTGGTGGGTAGCGAAAGCAAGAGAGTTGAAGCCCAAATGCCATAGTACGACCGAGAATGGAGTGGGCTCTCACATGGCCACGCGTATATAGCCTCTGCCAGGGGCTCCTACTCACTGCCTTCTCTTGGCGGTCGTGTTGTTTACTTTATGGCAGTGAAACATGGCCGGTAAGAGTAGAGAATATTCGTAGGTTACTAGTATCTGACCATAGATGTCTTCGAAACATTGCTCGTATATCCTGGGACCACCGAGTAAGTAACTCAGTTGTTAGGAAACGGATACTAGGTAAGGATGGCAAATCAATTGATGAAGTGGTAAAACTTAATCAGTTAAGATGGCTGGGACATGTGTTACGTATGACCGACCACCGACTTCCCCGACGTGCGATGTTTTATGGTGTAGAAGTAGGTTGGAAGAAAGCTAGGGGCGGCCAGACCAAAACATGGCACAAATCCATGAAGTCTCTGACAAGTGGACTGAGCCATGTTTGTAGATGTAGACTACTTGATTGGGGACCGCGAGATGATAGCAACCGATGGTTAGAGACCTTGAATGACATGGCTCAAAATCGTTTGCAATGGCACAGGTGCATCCACTCTTTGTGTTCTCTCAAACTCTAATCTTCTGAATTCTTCATGTCCTTTATTTTCTTTCCAAATCTATCCCACTGGATTATACTCCTTAAATAACATCATCCAACCCTAGTGTTCCCTATCACTACTTATACTATCACTACCTCTACCACTACGGGATTTGAATCGACAACCGAATCTCTGTGCTAATGTGGTATGGCAACTCGAACTGATGTACGTGCGTACAAAGTTCCACGTTGTTACTGACTGATTATTGAGTCGACTCCAATTAAATGGAAATGGGTTCAGTCGGATTTCTATGAGTAAGAATATGTTTCAGGAATGGTTGTGGAGTTAACATCTGGTTAGTTTACCAATAACGAGATCTAGAACTTGATTGGTTGTTCTAGATTTACTGTTCCCAATCATTCCTTATCAAGTGAAATGATCATCGGTCAAGAGCAGTCAGATGAAATGACGTTCAACTCCTAAACCCTATATAACATATATCATGCTAACTGAACAACCACTCAAATTAACCCTCTACAACTTGTTATTTTCTAACTCCTAGATATACCTGTCTCTGCTTCACTAAAAGTTGCTGTCTTATTCCAGCCATTTAGACCGTAGGCGTTCACAAAGTAGATAAAATCCATATGAAAAGTTCCTTAAAATGTTCCACTCATCGTCTCATTCACTTAGTCTTAACTTGAATCATTGTTCTATCTTCTTCTATAAGAGTCCCACTAGTCTCTGGGTTTTGAAATTTTCTGCCGGATGAAGTTAACCAACTTCATAGTGCTAAATATTGCCGCAGGCAAAATTATAGCAATTGTAAAAAAGCACGACAAGGAAGAACATCGCGTAGTGCTGAATAATTATTAGTATCATTATTCTGCACGTTATAAAACTAGCGTCAGTGATAACAAATTTTTTTATTGTAGCTAGTTTGATTATGAAAATGTTGAACACTACTAAGCTGTTTTGAAAATGAACGATCTCGTTCTTTAGTTTTAAATAACCTTATCGGATAGAAATAATAATGATGTCAATTTAAACCTCAAATACCTATTTCCTGACTTGAAAACTTTATTTTAGAAATACATTACTGAAATGGCCACAAGATGCAAACAGGACAGTCAGGCCTCAAATCAACAGCAAAATGTTGTCAGCTCTGATCTTTCTGCACCTGAAGTGAAACAAAATATGGTAATTGAATTTAGTCGGCGCACCGGTATGAACATTCCCTTTTCAAAACAGTGCCTAGAAGAGTATGAATGGAATGCTAATGCTGCACTAACTGCTTTCGAAACTATGAATTCAGCTGGTAAAATTCCACCTGAAGCGTTTTCTGTATAATCTTTGAACTAAAATTATAAAATTTCAACTTATGCAATCTATGTATGTTTGTGTGTATCTAGATGCACTCATATATTCTGACGTGTTACGATTCGTCATTAGCCAGGTTACTGGTAGAGCATATCCTATCATGTTTTTTTATTTGAGCTGAGTGACTATCTGTCAGAATGTTAGTCGTTGTTTGACTAAAATAGTTTGTATGTATGTGTGTGTCTTGCTCGTTCTCCAGGCCCAAAAAAATATGTCGGAAAAATAATCCTTTACTTTAAAATAGTTGAAAAAAATATCATGAGGTTAAAAAAAAATATGCTGCTGTAATACAGCGGTCTACCCGGCAGTGATTAAGAATTCTAAAAACTGGGTCACATGGTGGACTAGAGCAATGTTTGTTTTTTTGTTGTAGTCAAATATACAATAACTTTTGACGTACTAGTTACTTGGTGAAAATAAAAATATGATGGTTAAATGTTCCACCGTAATCGAACTGTTGACTGATTGCTACATTGTTAGAATATTCAAGTGCATCAGATTACACTTGCGTGCATGATATTTCAGAAATTGAATTTCATAATTTGTATTCTTCAAATGTTAGTTAATTTCTACTTATATCATCATCATTATACACTAACTCTTAACTTATTGGTTTTAACGCTCTAGCTTTTTTGTACAGTTTATGTTTTAAATGCTAAAGAAAACGAAAAAATGTTACATGACTGATATGGCCTTTCATTTATCAATAAGTATATCATAGAAAACTAGCAAATAATAAACAATATCACTAATCAAGTTAATCCATAATCACAAAGGAGCGAGCGAAGTATCTCATTGCAGTTAAGGCGATGTCATAACAATCAGTAAGTAAAAACATGTTCGAAGTCATACAAGTAAAAAATCTAAGAAGAGGTAAAGAGAAACAATGAGGCTATACATTTGACTGTTAGTGATCCAAACATTACATTTTTGGGAGATCACTGTGTTATCGTCGATTTTCGTTCTCCATATTATTGCATTATTGTGCTGTATCACTACCGCAAACATTTGCACTCGATATATTTACGTTATTTTTTGATTTTATATTTGTCGTTTCTACTGAGGTAGTTATGGCATTAATTTTCGTTGATAAATCTGCAACTCCTTCAGTATTAAGGCTGATCGTCGGTGTTGTGCAGTCCTCAAATGAATGTGGCTGGTAATTTCTTTCCAAGTCTCTAAGTGATGGAAGAGAGTGACTTCGATGCATTCCATGAGTATTTAATTCAGATATATTTGTGTAGCAATCACTTTGAGAAAGCTCACTGTCATCGATACCTAATGTTAAAAAGGATCTAGCTCTCTCATGAATTTGTACGTCGAAAATTCCGCTAACAAAGTCGAGCTCAAAATATGGGGAATCTTCAGTAGCATCGTTTGTTTGAATCGGCTCATCATTATTAACTTGATTGTCCTCACTAATGTTCATTTCACTCACTGAAATTTTATCATTGTTTGTGGAACACCTCGGCCTGTTTTTCTGTAATGAGAATATTAAAGTATTTTAAATTGATAGTGGTCTATCTCTACAAAAAGTATATACTTCGGTAGATAATATAAAATATATTTCATACACATGTTTATATAGAATATGATTGAAAGTTGTTAGACTATACACTTAGTAGTCAACTAACTGGACATATATATAGACTTGATCAAACACTCCTCTGAGTCTACATTTCCATTCATGGTCCTTTTTTAACTTTTTACTCAAGTACTGTTTATTTTTGTGGAGGTGGTTAAGGAAGCAAAGCTGTTATCAATGTCACTTGGTGACATCCCGTATAAAAATATGGTACTTAACCTCAGTGTGTGATGCAGATTATTTTGGGTGCCCAGTTGTTCCAAAGTGTTTGTGAAGTAGATAAAATGTTAGCGAGGGTAGTGATCCTAAACTATTACATGAATAATGATTAAACCGTACTGTAACTGTGACAATTAAGAAAGATTTATCCATAATAGTGCAGCCTGTAAAAAGGTTAACCGGATTTCATTTAAACAGATGCCATCTTACAAATAATTAAGTATAAATCCCACTGTCAGCTATATGTAACGTCGAATGTAAACTGAATATTTGTGTGTTGAGGATGTCCAACCACCGAATAAAAAATACGAAAATCAAATTAGTGTTGCTTAAGTCGGAATCGTATTACCGTGACTTAGTATGATCACTGTTCATGGGATTTCAATTCATTTTTTACGATTATTTGTGTTAGCGGTAAATGTTGAGGACAAATATTTTTATTGATATGCAATCGAGGTAGGAAAAGGAAGGAGATCGAAGTAGATTCGTTCACAGTATTGAAGTCAGTAGCGAATTATCAGCACAGTACAGGAACGTTCCAAATTGCCCGGGTGAGATAGCTAACCCAACAGGAATTATATCGCCACTCTGAAAATGGACATGGCTATGTACTCAAGTTTATAGCCATTCAAGACAATCAACCACTTGTAAATGTATTGTCCAACTATTAAGTGTCAGTCATTTAAGTCAGTACAAAAGTAGCCTACAAGATTAGGATGACTCATTTGGGTTTTATATATTTATCTAATATATTATGCAATACAAGTATATACAGTCCTGCCACGTAAGTTCACAAAAATTAGCTAACAAACAATGTATTCAGATTAGTTTTTCAGGGTCAGCTTATATCAACAGATTTTAGTGTTCAAATTCATTACAGATTTATGAATGCTAATTAAAGTAAGATGATAACCGACTGCGGCATTTACGTTTACTTCTATGTGTAAATGTTAAGTTGTTCAGAATAGCGATCATAAATATTTCCGTTCGGTTTTTTATCACCTACAATATCAACCAAATATTCATTTGTTTTACTATCTCATATGTGTTCGATTTACTGTGGTGATTTGTATCACCTTCACAAGAGATATTTCAGGATGTTGAAACTGCATTCAATAATGACAGGTTAAAATTTTACAGATGTAACTTCCCTTGCAACTGTACTCTTATCCTTAGATCTAGTCATGGCTAGACGTTATCTCTTACTTTGAATTGAATTAATTACTGTTATTCGTAGACACATCCATTGTATCAATTTAAAAGCCGACTGGTAAAACGATTACATAGAATTACCGCACTTTTTAAACGATCATCATTTTGCAGACTAAACAATATACTGTAAGAAAAGAGATGTTTCCACACAAAACCGGTCTGAATAACTATAATTTTCCGTTAATCAGTTTGTGGTGTATGTCGGAACAACACTGGAATCCTTTTATTATGAATAGAATCTACATGATTATAACCTAAATTTTGACAAACACGAATTTAGCAACAATTACTTTCAAATACAATAATCTATTACCATGGGAGATAATGTAGGATTCGAACTAACAAAATTATGATTGAAAGTGAGGTGCCTAGATCAATGACGGTACACAAATGTCGATACTTTAAGTTAGAAAATTATATTGGGTAGTTCGTTATGTGAATACTTACCTCGTCAGTTTGATATTGCTTAGTATTGTTGCCGCCACTGTATGAACCTCGTATTTTATTATTTGAACGAGCTGGCTCTTTCCTAGATGAATTATATATTTGTGTGCAATGAGCATGAGAATAATTCTTTTGCGGTTGTTTAAAATGAGGTGGATAATAACGATTATTGGGATGATTTGGTCGGTGTTGATGTTGATAATGATGATGTAGAGAGCGTGGTTGTTTCTGAAATTCATTAATAAAAGAACGACAATTAAAAGGAATCTTTGTTAATTTATCATATTTTTTTGATGAATCAGAAACTAATAATAAATCATCTGATTGCCATTTAGATAATGGTACAGATAATATTGGATCAGGTAAAATAGGCCGATCTACAATGAAATTCTATGCATATATACAATTTGTGTATAAGGTACCATGATTAAAGTAGAAAGAGATTGATAAAAAAAGAAATAGAAGTAGGAGAGATGTCAGTAATGTGTTAAGAAATAAATCATAATTTACATATTGAGTGAATATAATCCACAACAGAAAAATATTTTAAAAATTTGATAAGCGCACATAAATGAGTATGGAATCATTATTACACAGAGTAGTGATCATCCATTACAGAACAAATGCAACAACGAATAATAGCATGGATTCATTCATATTGTGTATCGGATACAAGCAGAGTAATCAAATATGCATAGATTATATGGCGTTTATGCATAAGATCAGAAATGTATTACCCATTATGTATGTATATACATATATAGAAATGGAGTCCAAAACGGTGAATATGAGTGAACATCGGCACAATGATTTGTTAAAAGAAAGGAAAAAAACAAGTTTTTTATTTAATAAATAAAATTACATATGCCTTGAGATCAGTGAAATGAACCAAACTCGATTGTTATAAATATAGATTAAACTATTTAGATTTATTTTTCATGTGATTTATTTTTAGCTTTATAGAAATACAGTAGATGAACTTCTCTAGCTACACTATAATTGTTAGTAAGCTTACACAAACTGGATTCAGAAATGCATACGTTCAAACACTTAGTTTAAAATACACAATCATTAATCCAAGAATTTCGGAGGACTATTTTACGAACAGCTTAAACTTCCCATGTTCCGAGATACCAGTCATGAACATTATGAATTAAATATCACTGAATAGTTCATGACAGTTTACTTTGATATTCTTTGCTATTTCTTCCTTGTATCGATTATATTCGTATTTACAGCAAGGAAATTACTGTCAAGCATCAGTTAGTAGCTTATAAAGAATTAAGGTTGATTTTCGAAGTGGGATAAAATAAATCACTAGATCATACATCTATGGCAAACCAGTTAGACATGGAGAAATTATATTCCGAGGTCATTTTAAGTGATAATAATATTGAGCACTTCTTTAAGTTGGGGTAAAGGAATAGTAAGAAAGTTACGCGATCTTTATTACCTAAAGATAGGAAAGGTTTAGTATTTTGATACCAGACAAATGGCAGATTATTATCAGAGGGGGTTTTGTGGAGATTTTAGTAATTTCAATAGTTGAAATCATGAGTAATTGAAGCCAGACCACCATGGAAAACCTGGAAGCACTGGATAGCCATTTTGTCCTAGTATGGGACTCCTCAGCAGTGCGCATCCACGATCCCGCCCCCTCGAGACTCGAACCCAGGACCTATCAGTCTCGTGCCAAGCGCTTAACCAACTAGACCACTGAGCTGGCCGGCATCCAACGGTTTTAATGTCTAACTTCAACCAATCCACGAAGTTTCGCCACCGTCACCATTGTCTTCAGTGAGCTGATATCTCACAACAGACCTGATTGCACTACACTGGCTACGGCTTCTCACTAGAACCCCAGAAGTGTCTCATGAAATCCGAACGCTGTGAGGGGCAGGATCGTGGATGCGCACTGCTGAGGAGTGCCATACTAGGACGAAACGGTCTTCCAGTGCTTCCAGGTTTCCCATAGTGGTCTAGCTTCAATTGACTCATGATTTCAACTATTGAAATGACAGATTGTTGATGAAAGTTAAAATTATTCATGATGAATTTCTTATATCTCTAAGTGACTAGTTTTCATATACTTAAAACAGCAGATAATATTTTTTTAGTATCTGGGTCCTGAGTAAAATATATTCGAATGATGTACAAGATAAATATTATATCCCCTAAATGTACGGTATTATATAAGTTTTAGTCAAATGAAGGCCTGTTGATATAAATTGATATCGTTCTGAATGTTGAAATAGATTAAATAGGAGTTACATTACTCAAAGACATCGAATACTTAATCTCTATTCAGTAATAATTAAGTAAAATTTCATATTCATTAAATTGTTGTTGCTATGCTCTGAATAAAGACGAAACAGATGTTCAACGCTCGTCTATTTTCGATAGTTCCAAAGCCGGTATCAGTTTTTAACGAAAACCATTTTCAACTTTATCAAGAAATCCCAAAATAAACAATTTGATTTATTATAAAATCTATGAATACATTTCAAGTGTTGAATATAATACAAATATAATATTTACAGATAACAAAAAATACATAAATAAACTACAGATATCATGTAAGATGAGATGACCAATGATTCTTCACTGGTTTCATTTTTTCACATTAAAAAAGGTTTAATAGGAAATGAGTAAAATAACTTATTATGTATAAAATTATAGAGTACAACTATCTGATATTTACCCTTAATCAGAACGAAGCAATCGTTGTAAAACCTTTGGATAAAATCATAAATCCCTTAGTGAAAATGTTTAGCTAACGAACGGATGTAAAGCGATTAAATGAACAACTTATTAAATGATGTGAATAAGTTAATTAAAATTAATGTGTTTTTTTTTTCAAAGAAAACCAAAGATTATATGATAATCCAATAATTTGACACCCGAAACCATAAAAATTAAACATACGAGAAAATTGTTAGGAAAGGATGCTAAAATCACTATTAAGTCAAATATTTGGCAATTATCTCATTGGTTTTCAAGTTTTCCAGTGTTGTACAAGGTTTAGAAACGACATTATAGTTATTATGTAGACTATTTGGGTCAGTATTTGATCTAAATTATTGTAAACATTTAATTTTGAAGAAACCACACCAGAACGTTCTCTTGCATAAATATTGAAAGTAATCCATAAATGGAACCGAAATGTCTTACACCAAGGGAGTCAGCAAAAAATAAAACTATCCTCATAAGAAAATTAATCTTTCAGATGTATAGGGTTGACAACATTTCCCCGCTAAATGGTTAAAGGTATTCGGCAACACTAATCAACAAGATACATCTGCAATTTTGTAGGAAATGACATTTCTTTGTGAAATACCAACCGGTGTTATACAAAACGTTGACCATATGTATTAAATGTGAAGTGATCAAGCTTCAACCGATTGAGTATTTTTGAAAAGAAATCTGTTAAATATGAAGTAATTTACAGATTAACAATCATTTATCTGAATTGTTTCTATGAATTTTGGGGATTTATTTAACTGAGATAAGAACGATTCCCCCATTACTTTATAATATATAACCTAAAAATAGTTTATTTTCCGAGTAGGTGAGAAAAATATTCTAAAAGTAACCTTGTGTATGATCTTTAACTAAAATGCGACATGGTAATGTCTCGTACAAGATTTGATTTTTCTCCCCCAATCAGTTACTATAAAGTAAGCATTAAAATGTTGCATGGTCCTTAATTTTGATCGACTTCTATGAATCAATTTCTTAACATGAAAGGTAAGTTAAGTAACTCGATATAGTGATGAACTTTTTCCGAATTAAACGGCTCAAAACTAAAAATCTAGGTTTCATGTCTCATGAAACTTATTAGTAAGCTCGATTTGGTAAATTGAGGTAAATGATATTTCTTTGAAAATGTAAACCTAAATTTTTGTATTGAGATGTTTACATTTTAACTATTTTAAGTTGGATTCGTTTGATCAGATTACAATGAAATAAAAAGTAGACATATTACCCTGAATAGGATTCGTTAGCTTTGCTATGATGTTGTGCAACTCATAATTAATCGATTGACAGGAGTGATGTTTTAACTTTTATCCAGTAATTTCCGTCGACGATCTAGGTAATATTATTTGATAAATATTTTATTAATATTATTAAAATAAAACTATAAATAGTTGTAACTATGTATTCATCTTGTATTTTAGTAAATAAAATCATGATTAACATCATTGTACTCTTGAACAGATGGTCACTCATTCTTCACAAATACTTTGTGATGTAAAAAAAATAGGTTACTCATAGTTCTAAAAAACACATGACTAAGACAATTTGTGGATGTATGATCTATAAAGTGGCTCGAAATTTCACAACTATAATTTGTAATAGATGAAGTTAGTAATTTTGTAAAATAATTCATACAAAAATTTATAAATTGACACGTTTATAGTATGAATGAATGTTTTTAAAATGAACTTGAACATATCGAATTATAACGGCGTAGAGATTAAAAGCTATATATATATATATATATATATATATATATATATATATATATATATATATATATATATATATATATATATATATATAGTTAACTTACATCCATATTGATTTCGAGTTTGTACTTTGCAATATCCTCTGGTGTTAAATCATCAATATATTCATCACCAGAATGGTGACGAATTTTAGAATCTCCTGAAAAAAGGAAAGCAAAAAAAAATTGAAAAATAAGTAAAATGTACCACCAGTCAGCGGAATCATTTATTGATTAAATTATGGTTTAGTTTATGTACGAAATCTCACTACATGTATCTTCTTCGGAAGTCACAAAGCTGATATCCCTTCTAACAACCACAGCAACAATTTATATAGGAACATGGAATGTTCGAACAATGTATGTAACTGGGAGAACCAATCATCTAGCTACGGAAATGAAGAGATACAACTCGTCGGTTCTCGGAATAAGTGGAACCCATTAGATCCAAACTGGACAGAAAAGATTACATTCAGGAGAGATGCTTTCGTACTCTGGTCACGAACAAGAAAATGATCCACACACTCAGGAAGTGGCTCTGATGCTGTCCAAAGAAACATGTTAGGAATTTATAGGATGGGAATCTCATGAACCCAGGATCATCGAAGCACCCTTCAAAACAAAGAAGGAGCAAATCGCGATGAATCTTATCCAATGTTATGCACTCATCAATGATAGCAATGAAGACGACGAAGACCAGTTTTACGAGAGGTTGCAATCAATCATAGCGAAGTGTTCAGCAAAGAACCTGACCACACTGTTGGGAGACCTAAAAATCAGAATTCACAACATCGAGTATGGGCGAGGACATGGACTGACTGGGAGAAACGAACGAGAATGTTGGGAAATTCGAAAATTTATGCCCATTCAATAAAATGGTTATAGGCGGCACGATATTCATCAACAAACGCATACACAAAACTACATGGGTCTCACTACACAGAACTAGATCGATCATAACAACCAATAGACATACTCTGACTGAGGACCGGAGACAGACAAGGCTGCCTACTCTCCCTCTTTTTCATTCTACTATTGATTGACTGGATTATGAAGACCTCCACATCTCAAAATAAGCACGGAATACAATCGACAGTTTGCATGCAACTAGACGATTTGTGATTCACGGATGACCTAGTCCTTCCATCCAATACACACAAACAAATGAAGATCAAGGCAACCAGTGTAACGGAAGCCTCTGCATCAGCAGGCTTCAACATACACAAGGGAAGAAGCAACATCCTCAAATGCAACTCGAAGAACACCAATTCAATCACATGTGATGGAGAAACTCTGGGAGAGGTGGAAACTTACATGTACCTGGTCAATAGTATCGTCGATTAACAAGGAGAATCCGATGCAGATCTAAACGAAACGATCGGCGAAACGAGGACCGCATTTATATAGTTGAATAATATATGGAACTCAAAACAACTGTCAACCAACATCGAAGTGGAAATCCTTAATACGAACGCCAAAGCAGTTCTACTGTACAGAGCTTGATCTTCCAGAACTACCACAATCATCATCAAAGACGTACAAGTACTTACGGACAATGGTCTGCGTAAGATACTCAATGTCCGTTGATCGGATACCATTAGCAACAACCTACTGTGGGAGACCCGACCGTAGCTGCTACTTTGACGTGGTGGTCGGGCTTGCCTATCGTGATGACCCAACCGAGCTATATTGGCTGGAACTCAAGTTCCTGCAGGTTCTACCATGCCAGGCAGGTCGATTGGAGAACGGTAAGACTAAAAGCAGCAACTCAAGCTCTGAGGGCAAAGTCGTACTGCTGACTGTACAGAGGTGTGACAGCAGTAAGGTGTTTCCCTCGGGCAACCAGCATCTGCAGCGATGCTGCCTTCTCACAAGGAAGGAAGGGGTTAGAAAAGGTTGACCCTAAAAATGTCACACCTCACCTTACCCCACGGATTTCCGTCTGCGGCGGTAAGGCCCTTTGAAGAACGGAGCTAACACATTAAAACCCCCCCACAAAAAGGCCGTGCGCGACCGGCCTCAAGCAGTTGTCCCTTGGGCTCTGCGGTCACGCACTCAGGCCGCTAAGACCAACACTAATCCGATTTCCTTTTCAGGTTCCTCAAGAAATACCCTTCCACGGTGTGTGGGCAGCCGGGAAGTGACATCAGCCCGAATACCCGTAACAGCACACGAGACCAAGTTGGTCACATTCAAATCCTTCATACACCTCCTAATAACTCACTTATCTCCACGACTAACCCTTCTCACGTCCCTTTATCACCTCGCCCCGCTAGTGCGAACGATTCGAGTACGCGGAATGTTATTCCTGGTCTCCTGAAACCACGCTCTAAACTACACGTAGGAGCTTTCAACGTCCGAACATTGAGCCAAATAGGACAACAGGCTTCCTTAGCTAAGACTTTAGAATCTCGCTCCATCGATGTGTGCTGCGTCTCCGAAACGCGCACACAGGATCCTAGTAGTGTCATTCATTTGACTGCACCATGTCAAAGTAACGAACCAACTCGATTTACGCTTCGTGTATCTGGAAGCCCTGATGCTGCATCCCGTGGCCTCGCTGGCGTAGGTATAGCATTGAGTCCTAGGGCAGAACTACCTCTCTTAGACTGGATCCCAGTAGACAGTCGTTTGTGTGCTGTCCGACTATACGGAACAGTACGGACTCGAAAAGATAGGGACACTCGTCGTTGCCTCTTCGTCGTGTCTGCCTACTCTCCCACTGACTGCAGCTCAGATGATGTAAAAGACGAGTTTTACAGAAAGCTTTCCGACCTTCTCCGAAGAGCCAAACACTCTGATGTAGTAATAGTGGCTGGTGACTTTAATGCTCAAGTAGGTAAACTAAGCGAAAGGGAAAGACACCTGGGTGGATCTTATGGTGTCGCGGCTCAAAGAACAGATAATGGCGACCGTCTGTTGCAGCTATGCTCAGATAACCGCCTGTTTCTTGCAAACACTAACTTTAAGCATAAGGAAAAACATCTTTTGACATGGCGACCCCCTAATTCGTTTCAACACTGGACCCAAATAGATCACATCGCTATCAGCCACCGATGTAGGGGCTCGATAGAAGACTGTCGCTCATTCTGGAGCACATGCTTAGACTCAGATCATGCTCTAGTGCGAGCGCGTATTTGTCTACGTCTTGCTGGACGTAGGAAACATGCTGCAAGGAAACCCCTTAGGGTCCTACTTAATGATAGTCAAGCCAAGACTATATTTCAGGAACAACTAGAAAAACAGTTAGACAGCCATGTAAGTGATGCCCACCCCGAGGCAGCGTGGAATGACATCCGAAAAGCTGTAGAAACAGCAGTGATGTCAGCAAGTACGGTAAACCATAAGGTTAGGGAGAAACACTGGATCTCAGCAGCATCTACCGCACTGATAGATGCTCGAAAACTCATTCCATCTGGCTCTGAACATAACGAAGAGCGGAGTCAGCTTAAGCGTAAGCTGACTAGAAGCCTACGCAAAGATCGTGAACAGTGGTGGGTAGCGAAAGCAAGAGAGATGGAAAAGGCAGCGGCAATAGGTAACAGCAGGCAACTGTTCAGACTTGTTAAGGAAACCGGTATTAGGAACCCAACTGTTAGCGAAACAATCGCAGAGAAAGATGGACATATTATTCATTCTCAATCCAGGAGATTGGATCGATGGGCAGAACACTTGAGGGATCAGTTCAACTGGCCTTCAGCCACACTTCGGTTTCCCACGATCTCCAGTCGACCTGAATGGCAAGTTGATGTAAGTCCTCCGACTCTTTACGAAGTTGAAAAAGCTATAGGAAATCTGAAGCATGAGAGAGCAGCAGGCCCTGACAGGCTTACCCCTTAGATTTTTAAGGATGGCGGTCCAGTATTAGCAGCGAGATTGACTGAGGTCTTAGGTAGAATCTGGGAACTGGACGTAATCCCATCTGACTGGTCTCAATCACTGATTGTACCAGTCTATAAGAAAGGACAAAAGTCCTCCTGTGACAATCACAGAGGAATTAGTTTGACTAATATAGTGTCTAAAATATTAGCTTCAATAATATTTCGACGTCTAACCAAAGCTCGTGAAGAGCAGACTAGAGAAAACCAGGCTGGTTTTCGACCTGGACGTGGTTGTATAGGCCGAATATTCGCACTACGTCAGGTCCTAGAACATAGACACACATTCAGACGTCCCACAATGGTAGTATTTCTCGACCTTAAGGCGGCATTTGACTCTGTTGATCGTAAGGTTCTATGGCAATGTTTGTCACTGAAGGGAGTACCAAAGAAGTACGTCAACCTTATAAAGGCTCTCTACTCGAACACAACTGGTCGAGTGAGAGCTTATGGTGAACTGTCATCAGAATTGATTACCTCAAGTGGTGTTCGTCAGGGCTGTCCACTCTCTCCATTCTTGTTTAACTTTGTCGTTGACGTCCTTTTAGAGATGACACTTGCCTCATCTAAATTTCCAGGAGTTGAACTTCTACCGGGAGATCCACTTGTTGATTTAGAATATGCCGATGACATAGTTCTATTTGGTGAAGACGCTGACAGAATGCAGAGTCTGCTGACCACTCTAAGCAACAATGCAAGCCTGTTCGGCATGCGATTCTCTCCCTCGAAATGCAAAATGTTACTTCAGGATTGGGTTGCGTCGACACCCGAACTAGTGATAGGGAGTGAAGTAGTTGAGCGTGTCGACCGCTTCACTCATCTCGGAAGTCTCATCAGCCCTTGTGGTCTGGTGTGTGACGAAATCTCAGCACGGATACAAAAGGCTCGACTAGCTTTTGCCAACTTGCGTCATTTGTGGCGTAGGCGAGATATCCGTCTATCAACCAAAGGACGTATTTACTGCGCAGCAGTTCGTTCCGTCCTACTTTATGGCAGTGAAACATGGCCGATAAGAGTAGAGGATATTCGTAGGTTACTAGTATTTGATCATAGATGTCTTCGAAACATTGCTCGTATATCCTGGGACCACCGAGTAAGTAACTCAGTTGTTAGGAAACGGGTACTTGGTAAGGATGGCAAATCAATTGATGAAGTAGTGAAACTCAATCATTTGAGATGGCTGGGACATGTGTTGCGCATGCCCGACCACCGACTGCCCCGACGTGCTATGTTTTATGGTGTAGAAGTAGGTTGGAAGAAAGCTAGGGGCGGCCAGACCAAAA